GTATATATGTATAGCTTTTTGTATATATGTATAGCGAAATAGACATAACTTTCAATTGTATATGTATAGCGAATTATACATATATATGTTTGCTATGGAGCGCAATTATGCAAACTCTGTTATAGCATACAAATATGATTTTTTTGTTTGCTATATGTGAAAGTTGCTCTTCTTTTTTTCATTTCTTTAAAACATAAAAAAACAATCATTTTGGTTAGAGAAATCGTATGAGACTTTATTACTTTCCTCATTCACTTTTATTTTTCCCATTTCATTTTTCAAAGTTTAATAATCTAAATTTTAAAATATATATATTTTTATCATACTAATACAAGAAGGATTGCAACATAGAGTATTTTTCTTATAATTATTAAATATCTAAATTTTAAATATTAAATTAATATAATTTAATTTAAAAGTTAATCAAAATTAGCTATCATAAAGATAAAGATAACAAATAAAAATGTGTGGTATTTACGAAGAAAGAAGGAAAAAAAAGGAACATTGATAAATTACGCTAACTAGAAAGATATTCTTAGTGCAGAGTGGATAATTATGAACTGGGCTATTACTTCCAAAATATTAGTCCTTCTTCCTATAGGAGCAGAGCAGAGCAGAAAACAAGAAGAAAAACTGAGCAAATTTTGGCAGGAATCCCAATTACAATTGATAGATTTTGATTGAATCAGTGTTTGATTGAGCTAAAGAAAAATTATTATGCCTAATTTGTATGTAAAGGCAGTGCCTCCGGCGGATCTGAACCGGAACACAGACTGGTTCATGTACCCTGGAGTATGGACCACCTATATACTCATCCTCTTCTTCTCATGGCTTGTTCTCACCGCTTTTGGCTGCTCTCCTGGCATGGCTTGGACCGTCGTCAATCTCTCGCACTTTATTGTATGTTCTCTTATAACCTAGCTCTCCGCGATTTATATGCCTATAAAAGTTTGGGGTTTCTCTATAGAGTTTTTGGTTTGATCCTCTAGGTTGAAAGATTTGATTTTTCTTTCAGAATTTTGATTGTTTTCCTGATTTCGAGTGGCTTAAGATTAACCCCCCATTTTGGTTTCGATCTATAGGCTTCTCTGTTTTTCGTTTATGTTTTTTTTTCCCCCTTTTGTTGTAGGAGTAAGAGTTTGTGAGTCATTTTATGTTAAAGATTTGATCTTTTGGTCCAGGATTTTGATTTCGTTGGCGAAATTTAATGGTGTAAAATTCACCCATATTATGAAATTGTACTCTCTATTTTTTTTCTCCGGAGTTTGGGTGTCCTGAGATTTTGAATTGCTTTTTTGTGAAATTGAATGGGTGAAGATTGGCCCAATTTGTTTCTGATTCAAGGCTTTACCTAGAGTTCAAGGATTTCTAGTTCCTAGTGAATGATATTTACTTCACTTTTAAGGATTCTATCTAGAAGATAAGTTTAATCCAAGGAAGCAAACTAAGCATAATATAGTTTGATTTTTGAATATACATGGTGTACTCAAAGATGAGTTGTTAATTATCCGATTAAGATATTCCTCCTTCTTTGCTGAAGAGAATGAGTGGACGTAAAATTGCTTAGTTCAACGTTTTCACAGTCGGTAGATTTGGGGTTTACAGTTTTTGCTTTCATTGTCTGTTGATCATTTGCATGCTTTTGAACTAAACCCTTCTTGTTTCTAGTTTGTACTGCTGGTATCCAGTTGAATGGGAAAAGCATTCAGTCAATGTTTTGGAGTGTCCAAAGTCTAGGTTTTGCATTATCATAAGTTCTAAGACATTGAAAGAAAATTTCTTACACCTATCCTTGTCAAAGTCATAACAGTAAATTACGATTAAGTATCCTTTACTGCTAATTATTGAGAGAGATCTCTTGTTAAAGCAACATACGAAACCATTACGGATTGGTCAAACTTTATGCATTTATGTTTTGTTCATAGGGATAACATCTAGTGTTAAGATGTAGACCTACTGATGGTATGATGGATGACCCATCTCGCTACATTTTCATCTTATAGTCTTGCTACTTCAAAGATACACACATTAAAAAAAACTCAAGTAGTTAATATAATCTGCAAGAGTTATATAGAAAAGCCAAGTAGTTCATATAATAAGTGAGGCTCTTGTGTGTCTAAGTTTTCCTGCCAGTTTGTGCCCTGAAAATGTCCTAGCTCGTTAACTGTAGCTATTTTTTACCTGTTGTTGTCTGTCTGTTTTAATTTGCTATTTGACAAAGTAAGCTGCTGATGCACATCTAGCTACTCCAATGTGGGCATTTCCATGGCTTTTCTAGATATAATCAGGTTTAGATGATAGCAGGAAAGCTTTATGCTTAAGCTTCAGTCTTTACAAGGTTGTTTGACCTTGGAATATTTTTTATTTTTTTTGAGAATGGTAAAGTTGAATTTTTTATTTTTTTTGAGAATGGTAAAGTTGAATTCATCAGCAATGAGGGTATGCTGGCAACCAAACAAAAAATTCCAAGGCAAAGTAGTCATGATTACAAAGAGCCTAGGAAATCTACTAACTGATCTACTTCATATATACCCTCTTCTTTACACCAAAAATATAGAGTATTAATTTAGTTTTCTTTTACTTTCTGCATTGGGTTAGTAATATTCTTAAAACACCTATTGTTTGTTTCCTTCCAAATTGACCACCATATGCAAGATGGAACTGGATTCCACAATTTTTTCTGTGTTTTACTCCCCCCTCTTCTCATCCAACAGCTTGGTAGGTCTGCAGTATGCTCAGGAACCACCCAAGGATCTTGGATAAGGCTTTGAAACATATACCATATCTGGGCAGTCACTCTACAGTGAAGGAACAAATGGTTGTTTGTTTCATCCTTTTCATGGCAGAATAAGCACCTAGAAACAATCTGAAATCCTCTTTTTTTCAGTCTCTCCTGAGTCAGGCATGCTCTTCTGCACACCGACGAAACACTTTATCTTGGTTGGGGTGCTGGACTTACAGATTTGTTTCCAAGGTCCAAAATCCCCCCCCCCCCCCCCCCCCCCCCGGATGTGTTGCCAGGTCTCTTTTGTACATTCTTCCAACAGAAAATTCCGCATCCCTATCATGTTTCCATCTGTTTGACCTGGAATATTTTTGTTTTGACTACTTAGAAGTTATAACAAAGCAATGTGCTTCATTTTAGTGACCTTTTAGTTTTCTATAACTAGGAACCAGGTTTAGGTTTGTCTTGAAAATAACTAGGTCCTAGGATATTTAGCACTTCTTGCACTTGTGCCACCTCCACTTTGTCGCAATACCCTCTTTCTTTTGGGAGTCAAAACTATTTATGTTAGTAGTGAAACAAATACCCACAGAGATCTTATAGTTAATTTTAAAAAACCCAATAACACATGAAAATTGAAACCAGGTTCTCTTGTCCGTTGTCACTTAAATGGATTTCTTAAGATGTACAAAAGTTACTGCAACGCATTTGCACAACCCATAAGTATAATAAGGTTACTTTCGGGTTGCTTTTGGTTAGAGGAGGTAAACAATTGGCAATCAACTAACTGGACTACTTCTCTTCTCATCTTATGTCTTGCTTTCTCCAACTTCCTAAGTACCTCATTACCTTCACTTTTGCTTTTATTCCAACTCAGCTTCAGTTTACGTCAAATATCATCCATACTGGTCGTCCCCTGAAAAATGAACAAGCATATGCGCACATTCACCATATATATGTTGTATTGTTGTTGAAGCTAATTTGGAGATGAGATAGATCTAAAATCATATGGAAGGAAGCTCCCTCGAAAGACCTAGATTTTCTTGGAATAAATGAGGACTTAACTAAAGATAGGGTACAAAATGGATCCATATAGGTTATCTACAAGTTGAGAATAGGTTTTAATCTTGTTAGTACTATGGTTTTGATCCTATTGCTTTTCTAGGAGTATTTTGACCTTATCAGAGATTTATATGTCAATAAAAATATATAATACTTTCAGTCATCAAATTTTTTTTTAAAGAACTTTTATTATTATTATTACTATTGTTGTTGTTGTTATTATTATAATTACTTTATTATGTATATTTAACTATTCTTTCACTGTTATTTTTTATTTGCTATGATGTTGACATGAATTGAGCTTACATGGTTAGTGAGGATGCATATAGTTGACCCCAACTTGTTTGGAATCGAGATGTAGTAGTTTCTGATGAAACCAATTTAGATCAAATTAATATCATAACCTTTTTGGAATCACCAAGTATATTCCTTCTAATGACATTGAAGGTTTTGTACCTAACTCTTAGGCGTCGTAAAGATTCCAGGTTTAAGCAATCGAGGGATTGGATTAATAATCATGAAAACTTGAATTTTCAGATTTGAAGTCTCAGGCTTTTATTTTTTGAGCTATGAAACTGGACAGAATTAGTCCTTTTTTCTGACTTAGCTGTAAAATTTTCGGGAAATATACTTGAGCTCATATTAAAAGAAGGCATAGCAACTGAGTAAGATCTATTTGATTTATTACCAATTAATCACAAACACTTTCAGCACGTAGTTTTTTGAACTATTATATAATGAATTCAATTTACTAAAAACACAGGAAGCGAAAAATGTATTATTCTTGAATTTTTTCAACCTAAAGAAACTGGGTAATGCTCTACGGAGGTATGAAATGAGTGACCTATTAAGGAAACAGCGAATGAACGACTAAACTTTTACACAGAATTGGGTAAAGTATGGTTTTTAACTTCATCTTTCCAAATATTTTCCTTTAATTTAGTCTTTGATTTGCTGCATCTTCATTTTTGTTTTGGCTACTATTGATATGGGGTTGATCAATTTATTTTGATACATTCACGTGATTCCACAAAAAAGAAAGAAAATGATATCTTCAAATGTGATTGAACATGCTTCAACATGCAGGTCACATATCACTTCTTCCATTGGAAGAAAGGAACTCCATTTGCAGATGATCAGGGGATGTACAATCAATTGACTTGGTGGGAGCAAATAGACAATGGGAAGCAGCTCACTCGTAACAGAAAATTCTTAACTGTTGTGCCTGTTGTGCTGTAAGTTCCATCTTTCTTTTCTGTTGACTTTCACAATTTGGTTTGGAAAATGTTGAGATCATCATGACATCCTAAAAGGGGGAAATAAGACGTGCTAAGATAATGCTTGTTCTTTCCTTTTTTTCGTTTTTGGTGCAACAAGAGAGTGTTGGATGGTTAATTTTATGTTAAATTTTAATCTATAAAGTTAATTAGTCTTCGGAGCTAATTGAATAAATTGTCCCCAATTTATGCCTCAAAAAGGAACTTAAACCAAAATGTTTTTTCTTGTGCAAATTTCATGCTATGGTGTGCATCTGCATTCTTTTTAATAATGAAACCTACCAGCTGTTATTATTATCAACTCAAAATGTTTTTTCTTGCGCAAACTTCATGCTATGGCATGCCTCTGCTTTCTTTTATTAATGAAACCTACCAATTGTTATTATTATCAACTTAAATAAAGGACAACAACAACATACCTAGAGAAATCCCACAAAGTGGGGTTTGGGGAGAGTAGAGTGTACGCAGACCTTACCACTACCTCGTGGAGGTAGAAAGACTGGTTCAAGTGTATCAAACCCAGGAATAAGAAGAAGAAAACAATGGAGAGAGCATAATAAGAGAGAAACTAGTAACAACAACAAAATAATATGATAATCGAAATGCAATAAACAATATATGGCAAGAAGCCAAGAACTATAAAGGCACGACTAGTCCTATGAAAGGCACTATACCTCCACACGGCAAGACAACATTATATCCCTACTAGCCTTCTACCCTAATACGAATAAAGGACAAATAATGTGAATTTAGAATCCAAAAGAGAAAAAATACATGTGCATTATGATTGGGTTAGACGAATAACCAGTTGTTATGAGCAGCTGTCTTCTGACTATAGTGAGAAAAAGTATAGAGGTGCGTGACACACTCTCGAGGATTGAGAAGTTTGACAAAGTAGAAAGTTAAATGAAAGGCTAGAGTCAATGGTGAGCCTATACTCCCATTGAAAAATAGAGATCTGTTTGTGGACAAACACCAAGATTATGTATTAAAATTGTCACATTCTTAGATTTGAGGGGCAATTTGAAAGACAACTCCAAGGGAGCTAAAAACCAAGAATGTGTGTCTTGTAGCATGCAAAAGTACATGTGGAATGTAGATTGAACAAACACAATTTTTGTGTAAACAAAATTAAATATTGAAGTTGCTTCTTAAAACACCAACAGTCCACGCAATTTTTGGTACTTTTAATGCATTGCGAACTCTCAGTGAGTATTTATGAGGGGATAGGCAATATCAGGGTTGCTTTATGCTATCCTTATAGTTATTTTTCGTCTTTCCCCTTTTCTTTTCTACTGTATTGATGACATTTTACTTCTGAGATTTCTTAGCAAACTCTTTTCTACTTGTTTAACTGACAGGTACTTGATAGCCTCACATACAACTGATTACCAACAACCAATGCTCTTCTTCAATACCATTGCTGTGACTGTGATGGTTGTTGCCAAATTCCCCAATATGCACAAGGTCCGAATCTTCGGAATTAATGGGGATCCGTAAATGGTTCTTGTTTTTTTTATTTCCAGTTTGTGTTTCTCAAAATCTAAGCTTTGTCATTCTCCTGCTGTTCTGCGTAAAGCTCGTCTCTGTATAGAAGGCAGGACAGGAAAGCGTACTTGCTGCGTTAGTGCTTATGTCTTTTACAAGTGCTTCTCTAGATAGTGAAGCAATAAAAATGTAACAAGTTTTCTGTACAGTGTAATTTTCCTTGTAAACTTTATATGAGTACTATAATTAGTTCAATCTCTGTGAACTATATATACTACCATTTCAAGATCTTTTTTGAGCTTATGCTGGCAAATGGACGGTCTTTGGTACACTATCAACTTAAGTTTTCATTTTGTTTGTCTTACTTATTCTTTTTAGTTCGTTTCAAAAAGAATGTGATAACTCTTTAATTCTAACTTTCAACGTGACATTTAGGATCACAAGATTAAAAGGCATTTGACATATCTTTAGTTTAAACTAGAAGATTTTTTTTTTATTATCTTTTTTTCCCTTAAATTTAGTGTTAAGTTATTCTACGAATAAATTGAAACGGAGGTAGCAAAAGTCAAGCTATAAGTAACTTTTTTTTTTGTAAGCGTGAAATAATAACTCAGAAAAGAAGAAGACACGTAGTAGTTAAAACGGTCGATCCTACAGTAGTCGGGTATGTTAGGAACTGAAAGAAATTGGTAGTAATTAATTAATTTAAAGAAAAGGATTAGGTATTGGTTGTGGCAGGTAGGTTCCTTTTCGTTTGAAAATTACAATTTGCTTAGTGGCGTTGTTAAATATCAGTATTATTATTACTATTATTTAAATGTTAGACCAAAGAACTTCAATTGATTCCAATAATAGCTGATCATCTACTAATTCTATAATTTCAAATAACTATTGGTAATTAAGATGGTTGCCTTTCACATATTTTTTGCAAGCTATGCTCACTACTAGGAGACTTAGTAAGCTCCAAATTCAGCCCTCTCCCTTTTTTCTGGAAAGGTTCTTTCTCAAAAGGGCTTTTCTTCGATTTTTCAATAAAAACAAATTTTGACTCTCTAAAAAAAGTGTATCCTAATACTGCGACACCACCCTATATGCACCAAATGACCTAAAGTTCCGTCAAATTAAGGTACATAACTTTGAAACACTATCATGTGTCTAAATATTAAATTAGTTTAAAAGTACAGTTAACTATTTATAGTGGAGTCCGGAGCCAAAAGGGCAAAAAAAATTATCAAAAATTTCAAAAGGGCACATCAAATTTTTTTTTAACCAAAAGGGCAAAATCGCTCCGGACGGAGCGATTTCCTTCTGACAAAATTGACGCCGTTACTCCGTTAATTTTTTTTTTTAACATCGCTGCCCCTGCAGCGTTTTCTCAAAAAATAAAACTTTTTAAAATTGAAGCAGCGATTTTCTTTAAAAAAGTAAAAAAATATATATTAAAATTCGCTTGCAAGACAGCGATTTCATTAAAAAAAATTGCATTTCAAATATATGCTGCCTTGAAGAAAGCAGTGATTTAAAAAAAAAAATCAGTAAATTTTCTTTTTAAGTAAATCACTGCCTGGCAAGCGATTTGTTAATAATTTTTTTTTTTTAACTTTTTAAAGAAAATCGCTTATAGCAGCTATTTCAATTTAAATTATTATTTTTTGATTAAAAAGCTGCTGCAGCAGCGATTTTAACTGTTTTTTTTAGAAAAACGCTGCAGGGGCAGCGTTGTTTAAAAAAAAAATTAAAAAAATTGATGAAATCGATTTTAAGAAAAAAGAAATTTTTTTTGAACGAAATTGCTTCTGGGGCAGCGATTTTTATGTTTTTTAACGGGTAATGGCGTTAATCCGTGCCCTTTTTGTTAAAAAAAAATTGATGTTCCCTTTTGAATTATTTTTTTGTCCTTTTGGCTCCGGACACATTTTTATAGTGAGTACATATATAGAGAGACTGAAAAAAAGAAGAAGGTGTTTATCGACAAATTAGTTCATTAAACAGAACAAAATGTAGCTAATAATTAGGCGGTAATTATAATGATCATATATATAGTACATACATGCTAAGTACAGAAACCCTAGAAGCTTACTTTAATCAAGCTAGCTTCCCTAATCTCAAAATAATCCTAGTACAAATTAACAACAATGTAACCAGAAATCAACTATATCTTCTACTATATGTTAGTACGTACTTAGTTCTAATTAAACAACAAATTATTAGTAACCAAAGCACGTATAACAACAACATACTCAACTCAGTGTAATCCCACATGTAGAGTCTGGATTAACCAAAGCACATGAAAAAAAAACGAGATTTGTGCACATTATTTACCAGGATCCTCCAGTACCACTTAACATCCCATTCCAATATAATCCAGCAGTTGAATTATTATTCTCATGTCCCTTAGTCTGATGATCAACTTGATTTGTACTTGAAAGTTGCTTTAATCCTCCTAGAGGGAACATTATTCTTGCACCTGATCCATTTTCTAGACCCCCTGGCCCACCACTTGAATAATTATTACTTAAAGAAGCTGCATGATCAGGCTTTAATTCTTGAAATGGAAAACCTGAATTATTGTATAAAGCATTCAAATCTGGTGTTGATGCTGAGGAGATGAATGAAGTAAACCCTCTTGAGGCTATTCCAGTCCTAAGCAGCTCCAGAGCTGAAATTTGACTACTGCTACCTGACATAATTAAGTAAACTTTTTACTCATTTAAAATATGATATCAGAGCAGACACTTGAGTTCATTTAGTTCGTAACCATGACATTATTGAAGAGAATTTTACGTAATACTTCACATAGGTAAAATACATAATTAAGTAAATAAAAGTGTGTTTTCTTTGATAATTTAATCTTTTAAATGAGATGATCGTCACAATAACTCAACATGGTATCAGAGAACTACATGTATAATTAAGTAAATAAAAGATTAATTAAGGCTTGCAGGTGAAGAACCGCGACTAATTGAAAATATAATGAAGTAAATAAAAACATGTTCTCTATCAGTTTAATCTTTTTGATAATAAGTACGTACCTAGATGATTGTTGCTTCCATCCATCTTTGGCAATTCAAGAAACTGAGGAATGACACCATGGAACGACGTGTGATGATCTTGTGGCACAGTTCGAAATCCGAGGGTAAGATCTTGGTTACTTCCAATTACAATATTATTAGGGCTTTGATGATGAGCTGGAACATGACTAGTGGGATTAGGGTTCAGATCAGGGAGCTTTTGGGAAGAAGAGGATAATCTTTTGTTTTTTCTAGAACCACCACCAACAGGAACATTCCTTAGAGTTCCACCTTCAGTCCAATACCTTCTACAAGTCTTGCAGAAATATCTTGGTTGAGTTAGGCTATAGTTGTTGTAGTAACAAAACTTTGTATTTAATGAATTACACCTAGGACAATTTATTGCCCCATCCTTCACTGGCCTCACCTTCTTATTCATTATTTCTGCAGTACCCATCGATGATTTCACTACTCCAATTTCCTAAAAAATTATTAACAAAACACACACAAACAAAAAGTATCAAGAAAATGCAACATGATAAAGTGTGGATATAACTTCTACCAACAACAATAACATATCCAGTGTACTCCCACGAAGTGAATCTAAGGAAAGCAGAGTTTACGCACACCTTATCTCTACCTCATATATGAATTAGAGAGGTTGTTTTCGATATACCTTCGGCTCAAGGCGAAACAATTTAGAAAAAAAGATGTAATGAAAGTATAAAGAGACAATAGAAAATAAAAAAGCCAACAAATATTAGCAGAATAATACTACAAATTAAACAACAGATAGTAAACTAAATCGAAGATCAAAAACTACAAAAGTAGTACTACGCCTACAAAAGTGGATAACTTGTAACTTTGAAAATTAAATTGAAAAGCAAACAAACAATAATAACGAAGAAGTAAAACACTTTATTTCCATATGCTTTAATAAAACATATCATGTGGGAAGTGGAAGAAAGAAAAAAGTGCACTGAACTTTGATGTGTAAAGAGAGATCAAGAAACACTTTAATTTGAAAAGAAAAAAAGACACAAATTTCTTAGGCAAATACTAATTAAGTACTACGTGCTAATAAATGAATTTGTATAGTATATATTACCCACCTCATGCGTCGACCATTGAGTAGTCTCCATAATTCTGAGAAGGAAAAAAAAACTAAAAAGGTTGAGAGATTTGTCTGGAGGTGTATCGACCTTGGTGCAAGAAAGAAAAACTAGAATGTTTTTTTTGAGTTGTTTGTGTGTTGGCTTTAATGGGGTTAGCTTTACTTTCCAGATCAAATGATGATAAAGAAAAAGAAGATATTATTATTATTATGTGTTTGTTTTGACTACTACAGCTAACTTTAGAAATGAAGTAGTAACAATCAACTTTTGTCCGGATTTCAAACAGGAGATATATATATAGATATATATATAAATATATATATATAGACTATAGAGAATTCAATCTATTATATTTTGAGTGGAATTGTGAATGGATATGTTCTGTAGTGGGGTTAAGTTTCTTCTTTTCTTGACCCTTTAATAGTATAGAGGGACTATATATATCATTATTAATCCTATGCTTCGATTAAGTATAACATTTTATTTTATCTTCTCCCCATACATTTTAGACTAGATCGAGTGGATTAATTTGCTGTCTCACACTGCATTTATATATATAATAAATCATCCCAATGTGAAAAGACCTAAAGTTAATTTTCGGAACTATAAAGTATCTTAGATTTTTTAGGAAATTTTTTAGACTGATTTACTATAGCATCTTAGATATTTATCTTAAAGATAGATCTAAAAGTTTTAGATTTTTTGTTACGATAGCTAGAAGACAAAAGTTATCCAATTTTTTCTTGTAGATATATCCAAAATATAATTACTTATGTTGGTAACCTAAAAAAATAAGACAGACAAACATGTTAAATTATATATTAATTAAAATAGGGAAAATTGTATATAATAGCAAACTATTAATTCAAATTAAATGCTATAAATATAGTTTGATTTAATTGTACCTCATAGCAAACTGTTGCTATTTCACCTCTCTCCTGGTGAATCTCGCTCGCCACTCTCGTTCTCTCCCTCGCCTCTCTCGTTTTTTATACAAACGAAAGTGTATAAAGTGTGTTTGTGTTTGTATAAAGCGAGAGAAAATTGTATATATACATATATTTTCGCTCCCTTCTCTCCCTTCTCCCAGATCTCGCTCGC